GCTTCCCTAGAGGGTGAACTGGCTGGAGTTCCCAACCCTCTAATCACACAGTTGGCAGCCTTGTCCTGAGGATACCTGCTGGCTCACCATCAGAGACCTCATGAACATCAACTCAGGTGTGATGGAAGGAGCTCAGGAAGCTTGGCAGTAGAAGAGATTGATGAACTTCTGGCTTCTCAGTGACTCTATAAACTTCCTTTAGTTGCTTTTGGGATATCACTAATTCTCTTTCCTCCCTACTCAGTGACCCTAGGGAGACATTCAGGAAATTCGAAGTCATGCATTTAGAACCTTCCATCTAGAAATCAGGGACAAAAACAGATCTAAGTATTCATTACACTAGGGGTGGTGGTTGTATTTTTTTCTCAAACATTATGGTGATCTGGAAACACCAAACTCTTGATTCTTGCTATCTCCTTCCACTTTTAAGCATTTCTTGTGTGCCTTGTACTTTTTGTGTGTATGTGTGTGTTTAATTTTATTTAAGGAGAAAAAGAAAAAAAGCAGAGAAAGGGTACAAGTTATACAGATTTACAGAAAAAAATAAACAGTAGGAAATCACTAGTTAATGGATTACATATTGTCATCTTAGAAATAATTGTTCAAGTTACAAAATTAAAGCTTATAAAGTGGACATTCCAACAGTGACTGCAAACAGTTCTGTTCAATGATCCAACAAAACTCAGTAATATCATTATCTATCTTATACACTTAAATATACATGCAGTTATATCGTTTAGAGCACTTTCTTTTCCTCTCTTTTGTACAATGACAATTACACATTTTGGGTTTTGTTGCTCCCACAGTTCTTATTACTTTTTTGGAAGAGAGTAGAACCAAATGTGACATAACAGAACAGAGTCAGTCAAATCAAAAGGGTGGACATAATAGATAATGTAAAAGCATAATACAAGGTGATCAACAATGGTTACCATAATGCCTCCCGCTATCTCTAATAGAATTGCCTATATCATCATTTATAATAAAATTGAACAAAACAGTAAAGAACAAAACCAAAACATTGGAGATATTATAGGTCTTCAAAAGTAGATAATAGTCAACCAGAATGGGTGTCATAATGAATCCCACTATCTTCACAGCTGTTGCCTAAACTTTCAAACCTGGTACTATCAAGCAAAGCAGAATAGAGGAACATCAGTCAAAACAAGATGGTGAGAGCAATACAGGGCTTTAAATCAAGATAATGGAAAGTCAAAGTGGGTTACTATAATATATCCTGCTATTTTTTTATTTATTTTTCCCTTAATTAAAAGGATAAAAATAAAAAAATAAAATGGAGATTGAGATAAAAGAGGGCATAACAGCAAAACAGCGCAGATCAAAACATAACCATTTAAGCAAAATAGTGTTTCACCACAAGATAATCCCGACATAAAAGTAGTTACCATATTGTCTTTTTCCTTGAAATCTTTGAGTATAACTTCATATACTGTAGCATCAAATATATCAAAACAATGTAAAACCATTTAAGAGAATGACAGTATTACAGGGTATTTAGAATCAACTAACAGAAAATGAACAGTGGTTTCTGTATAATCTCCTTGTCTATAAAAGTTTTTGCTTGTACTATCATATATAATAAAATCCAATAAGATACAACCTGTTTAGACCTATGGAGACAGAAGAACAAAAGCTTGATGAGACTTCAAAACAAGATGATACTAAATTAGTATTACCTCTTAAGACGTCATTTTCTCCAAAATAGCTGTTCCTATCATCCAATCTTCTCTGCTTCATTTCTCTTGAGCTCTTTTTCTGTCATTAGTTGTCAGTTTGTCTTCTTCATTTTGTTTTCTGCTCATTCATTGTGGCCTCTCTGCCACTATTTCTGGATTCTTTGTATTTTTATTTTTTAGAATATCTTACAGTATTCTCTGTAGAGTTGAATTGGTGGTTGCATATTCCCCTAGTTCCTCTTTATCCTGGAAACACCTTGTTTTTCCATCAATTTCCAGGGATAGTTGTGCAGGATATATCAATCTTGGCTGGAGATTATTATCTTTCAAAGCTTGAATTATTTCCCCCCACGCTCTTCGTGATTTGATGGTTTGTGCCAAGAAGTCTGCTGTAATTCTGATGAGTGTTCCCTTGTAAGTGATCTGTTTCTTGTCTCTGATGGCTTTTAATATTCTGTTCTTGTATTGGATTTCTGAAATTTTAATTATATGCCTGGGTGTTGCTCTGTTTGGGTTGTAGGTGGCTGGGATCCTGTATGCTTCATACAACTGAGTATCTTTACCTTTAGCTAAATTAGAAAAATTCTCCTGGATTATTTCTGTGAGTAGCTTTTGTGGTTCATTTGTTTGTGTCCCTACTTCTTTTATGTTCTTAATTCTTAAGTTATAGATCCTCTTTTTTTTAAAGTTATAGATCCTCTTATCATCTTCTAGTCTTTGTATTATTGCTGTTTGTTTCTTTGTTATTTTTAAGAAGTTTTTCATTTCATGCTCCCGTATTACAAATCTGCCCTCCAGTTCAGATAATCTGTCCTTAGTTTCTTTCAAGCTGTTATGCCAGTTTTCGATAGAGTTTTTAGTTTCCTGGTAATTTCTTTGAACCTGCTTCACGTATTCTATGCTTTCTCTATTTTCTCCATTAATTAATTCTCCCTTCTTTTTCTGTTCTTCCATTTCACCATCTGTTTTTTCTTGGGTGGTGCTTAGCATTTCTCTAACTATTCTGCTTATGTCTAGCTTCAGGTCATTAATAACTTCATTCCTGAACTTGTCTATAAGGCTTTGGAGATAGCGCTTTATATCTATTGCTGCTGAGTCTGCTATTGCCTCTTTCTCAGGATTGGGGGCCAAGGAGCCTTTCTTGTTGATGTTTCTTCCCCTGTTCTTTGTTCCTTATATATGCAAGCATATATAGGACGCACAGCTTCCTTCCCTGTCGGCCACAGTCTAATTGAATTGTGCTGGCTAGGTGTTCCCGACCACCGCAGCGCACCAGGAAGTGCAGACCAGGCAGCCTATGCGGGGCCCGCCCCTCCAGGTCAGTCTACCTTCAGGCTCTGGGACCTGGGTTGTGCTAGCCTACTGGGTCTCAGCCAGCAGCGTCAGGTAGGCTAGGCACTGCTCACCAATCCCACTTGAGAGGGGGATATGTAACTGAAGTCACTGCAGCGCCCTGTTCCCACAAGTCTGCCCGGACCCAGAATGTCCTCTGTTGTAGTCTCCTAGACCGTGGAAGAGTCCCAGTTTCTCTCACTCACTGCAGGTCAATGCACATCTCCCTGCCTGTCCTGCTTTCAACTCCGTTCACCGATTCCCGTTCTCAGAGCTTTCGCGCATCTCTCTCCCTGCTGAGCCGATGAAGACGGAGCAGCAGCAGCGGTGGGAAACCCAAATCGCGGCTTCCAATGGCGCGGGCTCCAGCTTCCACAATGAGGCTTTTCTGTTCCTGTTATAGCACCAGGATTACATTCCCAGTTGGTTTCTCTCAGCCCAGTACGTTCTTGGGTCAGCGGGGCATATCTCCTCTTGCATACTCCTCACCATTCCTGAATTCTAAGCTGGGTCTTTCAGAGAGCCTCCGAAGCTGCTGCTATCTGTCTGCCATGTTCTCCCAGAAGTGCCTTGTACTTTTATTATATTATTTAATCCTTACTACCATTGTCTGACATCTTTGATACTATTATGCTCATTTGGAAATGAGGAACTGAGGTCCAGATGGATGGTGACCACCTCAAGGTGATACAGCTGAAAGTATCCCAGGAGGATTTGAACTCAGCTCACCAATTCTGAATCAAGTGGGGGTCTTTTGAGTTTAGCTCAAACACTGTACCAGATGCCACTCTTGGCAGAGTATGACTGTTTTCTCTTGGCAAGCAGTGGGCACTGAGAGATAATAACCCCTGTGTGTTCCAGTGGGGCCCCTTGGTATGATTCTTTACCAGTTGTTTTTTGTGTGCCATTGAGTTGCCTTGCTCCACTCAGGCAGGGACCAGCCACCCACCAGACCAGTCTGTGGATATCCTGCTGGGACATAGAAGCAGGCAAAAGAGGAAAACTCCTGGACTCTTGCTTTCTCTATCAGGCTTAACTATCTCCTGTAGCTCAGAGCAGAATGGGCTCTGAGTCAGCTCAGCCAGTGGGTCTCTTCTGAGCCTGTGAGGACCATAGCAAAATCATGGCTGGACAGTGTAAAATACTCTGTGCAAGGCCTGGTGTGATAAATGTCCCTTTATCACCCTTCTCTTCCTGGATGGTTAGAAATGTAGCAGTTGGCATTCCTGCCACTGCCAAGCCCCAGGAAATCTGCACAGGGCTAGGTCAGAAGCCAAGCTCTACAGTTTGGGAAATTGGCAGCATTTGTGGGATTCCCAAGAGAGCTTGTGGTTTCTCTCAGCCATACCTGCAGTTCTCAGTTGGAGGCATTATTGCCTCCTGCAGGGTGTTTGCAGACATGTAGGTGAACACAGTTGTCACGGTGATGAGGGATGCTCGGTATTAACCTAGTGGGATCTAGGTCACTGTAGATCCTGCCCTGAGTGGGACAGACAGGCACACATACTGCCTGCTTCTGCTTCTTTCAAAAGTCCCTTTCTCCCTGAAGCCCAGGCTGAATGGATGGAAACTGAAAAATCAGGCTTCCATGAGTGCCGTGACCCATGGCCAGGGGATGTTCCCCAGTGCACAGGCATGTGTGCCCTTGTTGTATTCCACTTGCTTTGATTCTCCATGCATAGCTCTTGTGTTAGTCAGGACTCCTAGGTTGAGGAAGCCCAGCATATAGGTAGTGGGAATTGGAGGGGCAGAGGGAAGCACCTCCATTGTGGCCCCCTGGGGCTGGCAGGAGGTTCCCTGCAACCCATCCAGCATAGAGACATGATGTTTCATACCAGGAACCCTCGGGGGCCAGTCTCCCACTTCTAGGCATCCCTAGTTTTTACCTCTTTTTTCCAAATGCAGTGTGCTTAGACCCATGCTATTAGGCTTTTGTTTTGATGACTCACCACCTCTTTCCTTGTTTTGTAGTTGGAAAGACGTCTCTGATCACGAGGTTCATGTACGATAGCTTCGACAACACATACCAGGTAAGATCTTAGATGCCCATCCTGTGCCCTACCCACCCCAAGGGGCTGTCCCTACAGAGACCACCAGAAGCCCACTGCAGCTTCTCCTGAGGCTTAGTGAACAGGGATCACAGTGGGATAGCCCCGGGTTCCTGAAGTGTCTTTGATTTGGAGGAGCTCCTCCACCTAGATGCTAGCCCCAGCCCTGTAAGGATCTGAAAATCCAGACCAAGGAAAGGAAACGTTTTCCAGAGGTAAATTCTAAGAATCGAGAGAGGCTGCATTTCTATCCAGATCCCCCTGCTTCTCACAGAAAGGCCTAACTCATTGTAATATTTGGTTATTTGAGAGGGGTGCCTTGTCAGTTAGAAGAGGAAAAAGGTGAAGCATAGAAGAGGTGACCCTGGAGCATGAGGAAAGCTTGTTTCTCAGGGATGTTTCTGTGGGACTTTACATAAGCACCCCCAACACGCAAAGCCTTGCTGAAGCACTCCTTCCCGAGAGACACTGTGATGAGCCTGCCCTGACTATGGGAAAGAGGCTGGATAGAGGGACTTCTGTGATGCTTGGCTCTGGAATGTTGGTCCGGAATCATCCACAGGTGGCTCTATGTGACCCAAAAGCCCAGCTCTTAAGCATGGTTGCCTGGCACCACTGATGGTGACTGGGGTGGGGGAAGGTGGTGGTGATGGTAGTTGTGAGCAACTGAAATGAATTTCCCTTACAGTTACGGTTTTTCATAAAAGGCACCAAGCTTAAATCATTTAAACTATTCTTTAAATATACTGTTTTCTCCCTTAACATGAGATAAATGATAATGCATTTCTTTAAGCTAGTGGGCTACTCATTTAAGAGATGTTAATTGGAAAAAAAGGGAAGGTGGTATCTCAGAGCTTGTGTGGAGCTAGAGGGCTCTGGGAGGGAACAGGAGTGACGATACCTCGGTGCAGGACTTCCCAAGGTCTTGTTTTCCTCAGTGTGGAGCTTTGATTTGCCTGAACCATATATAGTGGGTGTTTTATCATGAAATTCCCTTGTCATTGAGTTCTCAAGGACAAGTACTGATGGACTTACTGGGAACTGTGGTGCTAAGAGTTCCCTCCTTGTTGCTATACCTGGAGAGGGGATGGAGGGCTTACTTTGGTTCCAGTTCTGCATCTGCCTTTTATTCTCTCTGTCTTCTTGAAACCAGTTGTCTTGGCCTTAAATACCCTCAGAGATTCCCCTCTAGTTTATCTCCCTCCATGTATCCTGCTGCAGTCTGAAGCACTAGCTTACCCTAGACTTGCTAGGAATGACTGCAGGGGAGCGTGGATGGCTCTGGGGGAGGGGTCATGAGTGCTACACACAGCCCTCCGCCAGGGCTCCAGGGTGTTGGTCTTGCCCATGTTATTGTGATCTCTAGGCCAGGCCTCTGGGCCCCACAGGCTTGCCAGAAGCCTCTCCTCCTGATCAGGGAAATTCTAAGCCATGTGACAGCTCTAAAGTCTTAGTACTGTGTATGTCTGAGAGAGATTGTATATGTTATTTTGATTATTTAATTTTTTTGTATATTAAGGTACTTATCATGCTTCCTGATGGCATCCCGTTGAAAACAGTGAGGTCCTTGGCTTGTTGGTGTTCTTGGCAGTGGTGTGTAAAACTCCTTGAAATCTTACCCACTTCATCTCCAGTGTCAACGCTCTTTGTCCACTTGTCCCTGTAGCGCTGCTGGCCCCCTGCCTGCTACTCCCTGTGCCACACCCTGGCATACCCATGCCTTGCTCCTGCTGGTGTGTCCTTTCCTCTGTGCATTTGTTTGCTGTGAAAGTTCGTCTGAGTCACCAAGCCCAGGGCAAATGTTAGCTCTGCCTTCCCTCCTTGACCTACTCTGCCTAGAGCACTTTGTCCTCAGGGCTAATTTCCCTAGGCTTGGCCAATTCTAGGACCAGTGGCCATAGGTGGCCATAGGTGGTGTTAGAGATGCCCACTGTACAGAAGTGGTTTAAAGGTGCTCTGTCTGCCTTGGGTATTATACCCCTTCAGACTGGGAGACCCCAAGACCCAGTGTCACGCAGAACATGAGAAAATTCTCTGCCACCACAGGATTGTCTGACATTCTGCACGTGGGTGTGTATGGGGCTGTGGGTGGCAGCAGGTGGAAGTCCTTTCCTGACACCCTTTCAAATGGCACTCAGGCTAAGCTAGACTCCACTTCTGTGCACACACAGATTCTATTCAGTGTGTGCTCTGGAGATGGAGAAGGGAACATGATATTTTGTTTGTCTTTCTTAGCATGGTGATGGAAGGTGATGGGAAGTCAACAAGATCCCCAAGGGTTTTAGGGGATGAACTTTTACCTCCTCCCAGGTTGTCCTCCTTCACAGTGACCACACTGCCACCCCACTCTAAATACTGTCATTGATCAGCTGGTACAATCCAGCAGAGCCGGCCCTGCCTGCCTTCCAACAGTTTCCAGGACGGAGTGTTCCCTCCCTTCTTCCTTTCCATGAGTCTCCGGTTCTCACCGTCCTACCCCAGGACAACAGATGTTGATCTGGAACTTATGCTGTTTGCAGAGTGGGAAAGAGAGGCCTGCCCTTAGTAAGGCAGCTGTAGAGGACTGAGACTCATCCTGAGTGACAGTTACTGAAGCCCCTTGTACTAGACATGCATGCAGCCCCTAGGGGCTCTTGTGAGGCCCTGGGTATGTGGTGCTGAGATCCTCTCGTGAGGTTCTGTCCACTTGGCAGGCCCCAGTGAGATGCCATCTTGCTGGCCTGGGTGCCTCGGGGGAGCAGGTCTTCTTCATTTTGCCTGACACTTGTCTCCTCCTGCCCACCCCTTTGCTCTTCTCTTGACACATGTATTGTGGCCTGTCGCCACCCTACCTATCACCCCATCTAAATTCACTTGCTTGGAAAAGTGAAAAGTGAAGAGTCTCAGTCAACTGAGATCCATGTCTGTGTGATTCTCTTAGGTAAAGGCCCAGCGAGGAAATTAGTTTCAAAGTTTATTGTAGGAAAAGCTTCCCCGCCTGCTCTGTAATGGGGCGTGGCCCTCTCTGTGCGCTGGAGCCAGCTGCCTTTCCCTCTCCTGCCAGCTGTGCACATCCTGCAGTGGAGGTGAATACCAGGGGTCAGGCCTCTGCGGGTGGCTGCTGGGGTATTCGGAGGGCAGCAGCGCTCTTCTGGGGCCTTTCACGGCTGTTTTCTTACTGCATGTTACCATTACCCATTTCAAGAATGACTGGGAGAGTCACAGGCCAGCACAGAGGTGATCAAGATGAACATCAAGACCAGGAGCCACTGGCCTATCCCTGAATTTCATACCATGGCAGTTAGGAAACCACGGCCTACTTGGCTGCCCTGGCGGAGGGCCCTGGCCTGCAGAGCTTGCCAGCTGCTCTCAGGAGAACATGCTTCCTGGGCGGGCTGCTTGTCTAGAGGACCGTGAGGTTTTCCTAGCCACATCTCTCCCCGTTCCACAGAGCCTTTGGAGAGGCACCAAATTGGCTGTCTCCATAGGACCTCTCCTGCAGGCCTATGGGCTCCTAAGAGGTTTTGGCCTTACCCTTTGGTCTACCCTTTGTGTTTGTTCTGCCCTACAGCTTTCTGTTCTCACCTTTTGGGACTGTCGTAATAATGACTGCAAACTAGGTGGTTTAAGACAATAGAAACTTACTGTCTTACATTTCTGGAGGCCAGAGTCGAAAATCAAGGAAGCAGGTCTTTCTGAAAGTACTAGGAGACTCTGCCTCTGCTTCTGTCTTCTCATAGTCTAAGTACAGCAGACAGACTGACAGACTGACAGGGACACACACACACACACAGCTACCCTACAACCTGGGGTTTTTCTTATTGGCCCTAGATGCAGTACCTCTGTGCCCTGGAGGGGAGTTGTCCCTCTGGTGCCCCCCCAGTGTTCGAACAGGAAGAGGCTTATTCTGTCTCCTGCGTCTTCCTGTCAGGCACTTCCTACTGTGGACACAGAGTCCCCTCCCTACCCTGGGCACACATTGGCTGCCCGTCTGACAAACTGCACCTCCTCTTCAAAGCAGACACACACTGCAGCCATACACCCAAGCACACACACACACACACAATGCCGGAACCTGACACCTTGGCTTTTCTTGAATGCTTCTTTCGCATGGACTCATTCTTTCCTCCAGTGCAGCTTCTTAAAATCCTCCATGTCCACAAACTCTGCACTCTCCTCTCTCAGAAGTCTTTCTGAATTCTAGAGCAGCCATTGATCCTTCCCCACCTTGTCTGGAACTGCACATACTCAGAGGACCCTACCTCTAGTGCATGATTATCCTACCACATTTACCAGGCTTCAGGCACTGACGTAGAAGCGAGGAGTGGGCAAGCAGATATTTGGATGACAGCTGTGATGTGAGCGCTGTGACCACCGCAGGTCATCACCCTGGGCAGCTGCAGGGCTTTACCTCCTGCCATTCGTCACTGAACCTGCCCAGGACCTGGCTCCTTACAGATCTTTTGTCCCCCGAGAACAGGATGTGTTACTCAGAGTGGGCCTACCCTGGAAGGAAATCACTGCTGTCAACATGGGTAATATAAAAGTGCATTATAGAAAAGCCAAAACAAAAACAATGGAAATACTACAGCAAATTAATTTGATAATGCTGAAGTGAGACTGACAATAGCTTGCCAGCCTTGTCCTTGGGGAGACTGGGTGTCCTAGCCATCCGTGTCTCTGCATTGTGGCAATGTTTTGCAACTTACTGGGTGAGCTTGACCCCTACACTGCTGAAGACCACCAAACTGCAGCCTTGGTTAACACTAGCAACATGATAGGCTCTTTGTGTTAATGAAGCAGAGTTCCATCTTTGCCAGGGTCAAAATGTGAAGGTGAAAAGTCTTATATGAAATTTAAATGCCAATCAGTGTGGCAAGATGACCCCTGCATTAGCCATCGCTGTAATATAATATTGCCGTCACTTACCTTGTATAGGCATCACTGTAATATAATAGCTGACGTAATATAATAGCCAACTTTAATGAGGAAAAATTTATTTT